AAGATGGTCCCGTTAAGTGTAAATGAGTCGAGATGGTGTGTCACAGCAAAATGCTGTGGTACACATATCGTCCCACCTCCTCCTCCATGCTTCACAGTGGGAACCACACATGCAGACAGCAGCTGTTCAGCTTCTCCATCTCTCACAAGACCCAGCAGCTGGACCCAGAATTCTCAACTCTGGACTCATCTGACCAAAGTCCAGGCATCCGCTGGTCTCATGTCCAGTCCTTGTGTTTCTCTGCTTCATGCTGATCTCCTTCAGTGATGACTTCTTTGCAGTGGGTCCATGAATGCCCGACTCAACGGTCTCCTCTGAACAGCTGACTCTGAGATGTGTCTGCTCCTTCGACTCTGTGAACCAGTCTTGCTGGCTGTAATCTGAGCTGCTGTTAACTGGTGATTTCTGAGGCTGGGGACTAATGAATTGCAGAGGTCTTCCTTTCCTGGGGCGTCCTCCTGAGCCACTTTCATCACAGCATTTGATGGTTTTTGTTCTATTTTGTTCTTTTCACAGTATACCAACACTTATCTGACGGCCTCAGACGCATTAAGCAGGCAAGAGGTTCTACTAATAATCTTTGACAGGGGGCATGTTATCTGAAAACCCTCCAGGTGACTCCTCATGACGCTAAAAGAAAACGCCAACAGCGTGCTCAGCGGCCATCGACGCAAAACGTGCCTCGTTCTAACTTACAATGCACTAAACAGTAAACACAAAGAAACCCGTGGAATGAGCAGGTGTGTCAACACTTTCTCGTGGTAGCGAGCCTCTCTGTGTAGTGTACACCTGGCGCCCTGTGAACCTAGCTCGGCTAACACCACGGTACCTGTAGCTAACAGCTTACATCAGATTCAGCCTGACTCGCGTGTAATGTTGTACTGTGGTTTTAAAACGCGCACGTCACAAACCTGCGTACAAAGAGCGCGAAACAGCAGAACGTGCAACAAACTAAAAGCAGAAATGTGACACACGTTGACTTATAACAGAGTAATGAGGAGAGAACCACTCACACCGGGATCTTTATTAGCCATGCTCGCCCTCTTCGCCCGTCAGAAAAACCAAGAGATGAAGAAAGCAAGGTCATGGGTGATGACGCACTTCCGTGTGCACTGGGAAACCTGGGAAATGTAGTGTTTCATCGAAGTTGTTTGATGGGAGCACTGGGTAAAATTAATTCGTTTTTGTTTTTATTATAAATCCAGGAATTCGATTGTAGATTATATTAAATGTTAAAAGAAGTGAAAAAACTGCAAAATATAAAACTAACTTGTTTTTGCATTTCTCCCTGTTTCCCTCCTGAAGTTCTTGTTTGTATGATGCACTTTACCAGTGAGACGAGAAAATACACGATATTGGGTTCACGAAATGAGACGAGACGATATTTTAACAGTATTTTTAAGAAATCTTCAATAACAAAATATATGGTTGGAAAACTAATCTTTTATTTGACTGAAAGTGACAAAATGCACAACAGTGCAGGTGCATTTTGAAATGTTTTAACCAATCATCCTGTAATGAGATTCACTTCAGTTCTACTTCCTGAGTGTGGATTATCATATGCAGTAAAAGACAATGTGCAAACAATGTCAAAGGTCTGGCCACAGACTCAGCCGACTAGCTTCTCTCCTGTAGGATTTTATGAGTCTCTTCAGCCCTTAGGACTGTGCAAGAACTGTGCATGAGCTTCAGAGTGAGTTTCAAAGGTATGAAAATATGCAGCCCCCCACCAACTCGGAGAGGGATCTTCCCGCAAACCACTGCCCTGAGGCTTGTGTCGTTGCCGAAAAGACATGTGATTGATGACGTCCGATGCAGAAATGGCTGGCCTGAGTGACTCCCGTGACCAGTTCAGACCGTTGGCACGGTGTCACGAGATCTCACTGCGCGTGTCAGCAGGTGCGTAGGCGTAGGGGTACTGTAAAGCCACCCGAGATGATGCGCAACATGTGGGTTTGTTGGTGTAGTAGGTGTGTGCGTAGTTGCTGTCGGTATGATCATTGCTGCTGTTGTGTGATCACCATGGAGCCAGCTAGGAATAAAAATGATTGATTCTCCATCCCTTGTATTTATTCACACCCTGTCCTAGTTACATACGCACATATTATCATCCTAACACATCCTCTGTTCCCCCAAGCACGCCTTCTCCCGCCTACTACACTACATACGTTCATAGACTGGACTGACTGACCAATCAATCTTTACAAACGTTTTCACATCATTCACACAAAGCCTAGTTACACCCATCACATAATTCAGACATTGTTCTGCTGCATACTATTTCGCCACCAGATGGCACTAAACCAAGCTTTTGAATGAATGAACCAAAACTCGATACAAATGATGAAGTGTTTCCATACAGGTGTCATGGTGTCAATTGGACATCACTACTGTTAGGTACTGATAGTGAGAGACAGCTTTCACCTCCACCAGAAATATCCAGATGTTTTAATATCGCGAGAACTCGCGACACGAGATCTTGTCACAGCCCTAGTCAAATGTTAACATTTTAAAGTAAAAATATTCTAAACCTAAAACACAAAGTTGATGACTTTTAAACTCTAGTCTACATTTGGAAATTTTTTTAAGTCCCACTAAAACTTTGGATTAAGTTAAAAATATTAAACATTATTTTTGACTATATAGTGATTTCAACTTTAAACATTTTATCTGATTTTGGCATAAAAATATTATTTATTTTACTTAGTTGCGGACGACTTTCTGACTTTTCTCCAGCTGTGCCTTTATACTTTTCCTTCCTGGTGGAAACGGTCTTCGCTAGACTATGTTTCTCCTTCAGTTGCCTCCGATTGCCCCCGTCGGCCGACCGTGATCTCGCCGTCGCTGCCCTCGGGGCTCGGTGATTGGCTCAGGGTTCAGTTCCTACTGAGGAAATCACTCCTTTTATAGTTAAGGCCGTGTCGAGCGGCTGTTTTCCGGGTTCGCGCTCACTCAGCATGTAGAGGAGGCGGATCACCGGAGACACCTGGACCACCGCGCGCACACCGGAGCCGGACACACGCCATCGACCCGCGGTTATCGATCAGCTATTAGTGAAGGTGAGGAGCGGGAGGGCGCCGTGTTCTGGGGAGGACCGGCGGATCAGGAGGAGGGGCGGCGGGTGGATCTGGTCTCTGGGTGGATCCTGGTCTCCGATCAGACAAGTCGGGTCCTGCTATACACTCACCTTTACTCTTCCTTGTGTCGGCAGACTGAAGGCGGCGTTGAGCAGGCCCCGGTCCAGTTTGATGAGGTTCTGGTCTGGGATCAGTTTCTAGAAACAGCATCAACATCACGGCGCTTTGTTGAAGGTACGTGAGGACAGAACAGCGGTGTTTAGAGTACTGTGTGTAGTACTACGGAGTATTCAGATGTTTCTGGGTAAATGGAGATTAGGCTTCTTGGCTGCAGACTTCATACTGCGACATCACTCCATGTCGGAGACAAACCGTGTACTTTTTACTGCACTACATGTAGCTGATAACTTCAGTTCCTTTCCAGAATCAGATGAATCAAACCAAACCCTGTAGAACCATCATACTCTATTGATCCCAGTGGGAAATCCACCAGCTACCCAGCAGGATGAAAAGTACCCATCAGCTCCACCTTTACCAGCTGCAGCATTAAAGTGATGGACACAGTAACGCATCAGTCACTATGATCCAGTAGTATCAGAGACATTGCTGGGACACGGGCTGTTCTGCAGGACAAGTACTGGTACTGTTGAGATTTTATGTAGATTTACATGCTGATACGTTTGTACTTTAACCTAAGTAACATTTTGAATGCAAGATTTTATTTGTGACAGTATTTTTATACAGTGGTATTTGTACTTTTATGCATTACACTACACTTAATCAGTAGAATTAACTTTGAGTGACTACATGAGGCTGTTGTATTTAATGAACTAATCCCTGATAAATTCATTTTAAATGGTACGTTTTGGTTGTTAGAGTGTTGCTGCTAATCTTTGTACTTGTGCCAAAGTACTTGTATGTGGTAGAGTTGTAGTTTTTAGTGCAGTAACAGCTCTGAATGTTTCCTCCTTCCAACACTGAGTAGAAACATTGTTTTTGTGGTGGAACGTGTGTGGTGAACCGTCAGAGGGAGACAAGCAGTGAACAAACAGACGCTGGCTGGTCTCCTGAACCCTGACTTGTACCTGAGCCCTGTGGGGCCGTTGTTTTCACAGTGCGAGCGTCATACTGGACCTGCGTGCCGGCTGCTTTACTTCCTCTGTTTTAAATTTAGGCCAAACTTTCAGAGACTTCATCACTTCCTCTTTTCACTGGTTGTGGCAAGACGGCGCTGCTTCCAGCTCAGTGTGCAGCTCACTCTCTCAGAACTGTGCTAGTCTGTACAGCAGAGGACCTTCACTTTTTCTCGTCATTTACCTGCAGGAGAGGTTTAAATGTGTGTGGCTGAGTCTCGGCAAGTTCACTGTCAGTGTGACAGTGCTGGCCAGCCATGAAGCCCAGCAGCTGCAAGATGGGAATTACTTTGGCCTGTGGGAATTTCTGCTACAGTTAAGCTTTTCTCTAGTGTGTCTTCTGTCCTTGATGGCTGACGTCTGTTGTGTCGTGTTCCATTTAGTGGTCAGTTTATTAGGAACAGCTGTCTCAGGCTAGGTCAGGCTGATCCAACAGTCCTGCGGTAAATCCTCCTTCATGAAGGTGATGCTGTCCAGTTTGTGTCACAGAGGTGTCGGTTCACCTGTGTGGTTGCTGTGGAGGCTGCTGCTCAGCTGCGCTGTGTTATACTGAGTGCTGGTTTTGATGTTTATCCTCACTGTTATAGATGGGGTGGACACAATAACAGAAACACCTCTCTGAAATAGTGTGAACACAAACTGAACGTTCACACCTTCATGAAGGAGGATTTAGTTTTAGGCTGCTGTTCCTAATAAACTGCTCTATGTACTGTACCTGTCTGTTGGGTTGTTATAAGCAGCGTTTCAGCCACAGTCTCTGTGAAATCTCCCTCTTGTTGAGTTTTTCCTCTCCCATCAAATGTGTATCCATGAGCAACTTTCTTCCAGTGGGTTTCTTTAAACAATGTCCTACTGTAATAACTCCTGAGAGCTTTTCTTCACGGCAAACTCAAACATGCAGCTTCTTCAGAGCTGGACCAACATTTATGAACTCTTGTTCTAATGTACATGACTCAATTCTCATGAAAAACTGTGCTATTATTATAGTTTTGGATAAGAACCTGTGGTATGTTTAGCAACCGTTCGATGTTTTGGTGTCATGAGTTACAACCTGTCTCAAAGAAATGACATTTATATGCAACAGCAGATGTGTTCTGTAGGAAACGTCCTCGCTGGCTTTGTTTGTACTGAATGGACGAAGCCCTGCAGTTACAGCGTCAATGCACTCAGACCTTTTCTCTTTCAGGTGTTTCACTCACTAAACCACTGTTTCCCTGCAGTGTTTTATTTTCCCACAGTTGTGATGTTTCTGCCCTGACCTGCAGCTTCCAACCGACACCAGAAACACACTGGCATTTGTTCCTGTGCGGCTTTTCATCATCTCGTCACCGTGTGAAACTAACACTGGTCACACTGTGTTGGCAGCATGGGCAACCTGATCAAGGTGTTAACCAGAGACATCGACAGCAGCGGTGGAAACTTCTTCCTGGACTTTGAGAGTAAGAAACACAGATACAATCTGCTCCGACACATCGACATGCTCTCACCTGGGCCCGTGTTGATTTCAGACTCCCTCACACTCACAGAAGACACGACACACTGATCGTAGAAATGAATGAGGTGCCGTACTGTGGGACGCCGTCCACTGACAGGTGTCCAAGTTAGTGTGGAGCCCCAGAGTCCACACTTTGTAAACAGAGGAGTGTGTTTAGATGAAGAGTATCTTTAGCTCCAGACAAAGTGATGCGTCCTTTGTGGATTTGCACATTCTGCAGGTTAAAGGCAGTGTGGCTACAGTTTTATCTCACAACCAAAACAATTCTTTCAAAATGCCAAGACCTAACTTCGGTGTGCATATTCATGATCCAACATCAGAGCCTCCTGAACTGAAGCCCGGAGGGTGGATCTCAGTAACACAAACCTGCCATGTAAACACACAAACTGAGGGGGAGCAGAGAGTGTGTTTGACCTCTGACCTTGTGTGCGTTTCTCTGCAGACGCTCAGCCCTCGCAGTCGGAGACGGCGGTATGGGAGAAGGTGAACCAGGTGCTGACAGAGGCTCAGGTCATCCTGGAAGACCTGCAGTCGTACAGGGGAGCGGGAGAGGAGATACGACAGGTAACATGCAGGACAGGTGACCCGCGGTGTGTCGGTCACTCAACTTCATCTTCATAGCGGCTTTCAAAGAAGTCGAACACCGTCCAAAGTGACTGATAACAATAGTAACACACAGCAGTGAAAACAGAGCAACATACGAAGGATGAGTCACATCAGATGAACAAAAATCAAAAGACTAAAATCATATTCAGGTGCCAAAATGAACACTTTACCCATCACAGACCTACAACAGAGCAAAATGAGCTCCACTGCTTTGTGTTTGATATGAATACAAAGGCAAATAGATTTTCACAGCCAACAGTAGCTGATGTATTATCGTCCTTACTGCGTAGTCACAGGGTAGTCTGCTGGTTATAACAGTGTGGGTCAGTGTTACCCATCACAGACCTACAACAGAGCAAAATGAGCTCCACTGCTTTGTGTTTGATATGAATACAAAGGCAAATAGATTTTCACAGCCAACAGTAGCTGATGTATTATCGTCCTTACTGCGTAGTCACAGGGTAGTCTGCTGGTTATAACAGTGTGGGTCAGTGTGGTGGCCTCACTTCAGAAACGTGCTGTAAATGAAAAACTACTGTTCCTGTCAAAGTAAATCAGAGTCAGAAATCACTGTAAGGTTTCTGGTTTTTCACAAAATGAAGAATCCTGGTTGAGACGAGATGGATCTGTGTGCGTGTGTGTGTGTGTGTGTTCAGGCCATCCAGAGTCCTGGTGCTGTGGGCGTGCAGGAGAAGGCCTGGGCAGCTGTGGTTCCTCTGGTTGCTAAACTCAAAACCTTCTACGAGTTCTCCCAGAAACTCGGTAAGAACCTGAACAATCTCGTCTCTGCAGACACTCGCTTTTACTTCAGCCAAAAGAAAAGTACTACAAGCAGTGAAATATGAAATGATGAAGTCAGATTCACACAGGATATTCCTGGTCCCATTTTAATAACTTATTTGTCCATGTAATCGCTCTTCAGCTGCTGCTATCTGGACAAAAGCTTGACTTAATAATGTCAGTGCATGTCTGCTCTGGGAGCAGGAGAGGCACCAGGTTCCTACACCTGGAACTCCCGGTCTGTCCTCGTACATTTTGCCAAACGAACATCGGTAAAAGCTGCAGAACGAGCTGTGATCAGCTCGTGTTTGCACCGAACCCATGGATAGCAAACTGTACATTTTTCAGAACAGATGAATCACCATCTGTCCCGGGGACACTATCCAGAGCCGCCCACAGCGGCTGCTTTGTTCTGTACACAGCACATACAGTGAGGAACAGAAGTTCCCCAAAGAAATTCAGGAAATCACATTATATGATTTTTAAAGAATTTATTTGTCTTGCACTGCTGAACATAAGTATTTGAACACCTGAGAAAATCAGTGTTAATATTTGGTACAGAAACCTTTGTTTGCAATTACAGAATGTTTCCTGTAGTTCTTGACCAGGTTTGCACACACTGCAACAGGGATTTTGGCCCACTCCTCCACACAGATCTCCTCTAGATCTGTCAGGTTTCGGGGCTGTCACTGAGCAACGCGGAGTTTAAGCTCCCTCCAAAGATGTTCTATTGGATTGAGGTCTGGAGAC